GACAACCATCGGGGCAACCATCAGGACAACCCTCGCGGCAACCATCGGGACAACCATCGGGACAACCATCGGGACAACCATCGGGACAACCATCGGGACAACCATCGGGACAACCTTCGGGACAACCATCGGGGCAACCATCGGGACAACCTTCGGGACAACCATCGGGACAACCATCGGGACAACCATCGGGGCAACCATCGAGACACCCGTCGGGACAACCCTCGGGACAACCATCGGGACAACCATCGGGACAACCATCTTGCCAAACAGTGGGACAACCATCGGGACAACCATCGGGACAACCATCGGGGCAACCATCGAGACACCCGTCGGGACAACCCTCGGGACAACCATCGGGACAACCATCTTGCCAAACAGTGGGACAACCATCGGGACACCCGTCGGGACAACCAACGGGACAACCATCGGGACAACCATCGGGACCACCATCGGGACCACCATCGGGACAACCATCGGCACAACAATCGGGACAACTATCGGGACAACCATCGGGACAACCATCGGGACAACCATCGGGACAACCATCGGGACAACCATCGGGACAACCTTCGGGCCAACCATCGGGACAACCAACGGGACAACCATCGGGGCAACCATCAGGACAACCCTCGCGGCAACCATCGGGACAACCATCGGGACAACCATCGGGACAACCATCGGGACAACCACCGGGACAACCATCGCGGGACAACCATCGGGGGGCGCGCCGGGGGGGGGGAGCAACCCTTTGGGCTCCATGTGGCCTCTACCAGTGCAGGACCTCGCGCAGATTCACCTCGTCCGCACCACACGAACCGAAACCGAAACCGATTTCCTGGTTCGGGCCACTTCCGTTAACACCCCCAGCCTCCGTTCACATCAACCAGCCCCCCGTGGCGGCCCCAGACGAAGAATACCCCGAGCGATGCCCGGCCGATGCCCGGCCGACTCGCCCAAGGGGCTCCAGGAGCGCGCTAGAAGCGCGCAAAAGGGCGCCGGGACGCCGAGTCGCCGAAAGATCGTTCCAAGACGCCCCGAGTCGCCGAAAGATCGCTCCAGGACGCTCACGATGGTCTCCAGGTGGCCCCAGAGGCCGCGGAAAAGCCCGACGAGGCTCTCCAAGAGGGCCCTGACGAGCAAACATCGCCCCATTCCCTCATGGAAACGGATCGTTTTCGCATGTGCGACGTTAGGGGGCTCACAGCGTCCAGAACTGCCCCAGAGGCCCCCAACGCGCCCCCAAGATGGGCCCATGAGGGCCCAAGAGGGCCCAAAGACGGCCCAAGAGGGCCCCAAAATGGCCCCAAGAGGGGCCCAAGAAGGAGACCAGGAACTGAAGTCCAGCCTTCAGCCCCAAGAGGCTCCCAGAAATCCCAATAGGCCCTGAAGAGGCCCCAAGGGCCCTCCAAGAGACACCGAAAGAAGCCCCAAGAGGCCCCCAAGAGGCCCCAAGAGGCCCCAACACGGTCCCCGAGAGGCCGCAAAACTGCCTCCCAGAGGCCCCCGAGAGGCCAACCACGAGAGCTCAACCAACATCCATGAGGACTCTGACCCACAACCCACCGCCTCGGAAAAATGGCAGCCGCCCGACGGCACTGCATTGACAACAACACCCCTGCAAACGACAACGGCGAGGCAGTATGGGCCGGCGGAATGAGCGAAACGATTCAACAAGCTTCCGACGCAGCCCAAGATGGCCCAAGGAATGCCCCAAGCCGGACCGAGGACCACTGCAAGCAGCCCAAGAGCGCCCATGGACAGCCCCATACCGACTCTGACACCAATCCAGATGGCTCAAAAACGGCTGTATAATTCACAACGGTCCCAAAAAAGTCTCATCGTAATGCCGTGACAGCCATCATGCAAAGTGCCAACGTCTCACCCAATGGGAAGGGGACTCCACGATGCAACTGCTGACCAAAGAAGAAGAAACAACAGATCAGGGAGAAAGAGGCGCGGCAAAGTAACGGAAAAAAGTACCATGGAGGAGCAGGAACTTGTTTTACCGATGAGCCTTTTCGGGAAAGCTTCGGATAACCCTCGCGCCCAAGAATGCCGAACAACGCGTTCACAGCTCATGGAAATCCCGCAGAACCACGGATCCTCCAGCTGGATGCCAAGCGGGCTCCACGTAAACATGGTTCGACCGAGACTCCTTGGGAAAGCGTGGTCGAGCCACCCTGGCCGTTGCCAGAGGTGATCCCTGGTCCAAGGGAACGCCAGCTTCTCCAGGGGGGGCCAGCCTGCTTCCAGAGCACCACATCCCAAGGTCCAGAGGGCCCCATTGGCTTTTAGACTTCGCGATAAGCTGGGGGCATCCTGGGCTGGGGCCACCTCTGACCTCTTGCAACCTCCGACGTCCTGGGCACCTGGCCCCAGTGTGCGAGGGGGACACGGACGAGGGGGCGCGGGGGGGGGGTCGGCACGGGTGGGAGGCGGCGCTCGGGGATCGCGGGTGTGGAGGCCCGGGCGGGTCGCGCAGAGCCGAGGCCAGGAACATCAAGAACAGCACCAATCGCTTCAAGACTGTTCGCTCTTCGCTGCTGGCATGTCGCTCAACATGTGCACCATCTTCGTCTTCGCCCGTGCCCCCTTCGGGAATAGATCCTCCCTGCCTGCAATCTGTATTCGGCGCGGCCCCGAAACTTGGAGGAGGAAGGAAGGGGTAACGGGATAGAAAACGGAAAGGATAAATGAAGCGACAGTAAAGGGGGGGAGGGGGGGGCAGAAGGTAGGAGGGAGAAGAGAGGGCGATAGCAGAATAGGGAGGCACCAACTATACACCAACACCGATCCTGGCCAGGATCACCCTGGGCCCAGGATCGGTGTATATGCCCTCCTGCCATGGGCAGAATGCATATACACCGATCCTGGGCCTAGGATCGGCCTGGGCTGGATCGGTGTAGGTGTATAGTTGGTGCCCTCCGACAGAAGGGAAAAGACAGAATCACAACCTCTTGGGCAAAAGGACCCTGACGGGCGGGCCGGCCATCACAGGCGGGTCGAGCTGGCGGACCCTTGCGGGCGGGTCGGGCGCGAGGACCCTGACCGACGGGTCAAGGCGGCTGGACCCTGACAGGAGGAGGAGGAGGAGGAGGAGGAGGAGGAGGGGGAGGAGGAGGAGGAGAAGGAGGAGGAGAAGGAGGAGGAGAAGGAGGAGGAGAAGGAGGAGGAGGAGGGGGAGGAGGAAGGGAGGAGGCGGAGGAGGAGGGGGGGCGGGGGGGCTTCCAAGCAGGCGAGCGGGCGGACCCTAACGGGCAAGTCGTGCGGGCGGACCCCAACGCGCGGGGGGGGCGGGCGGGGCATTGAAACTGATCTCCTAAATTGCGGAGAAACCTCAGGTTAAAGAACGGCTCCTGGGAACATTGTTAATGTCTTGTGCCAGGTAGCGCCTTTCCTGGACGTCGAGAGCGCAGCGCTGTGGTTAATTGCAAGGAGGTCCGAGGCTAGAGCGCAACTCCTGAATACTGGTTGAAATCTCGAACGAGAGCGCGACTTTGAATTCATTGCGAGGATGTATCAGGCCGGACATGTTGGCGCTGTTCTTGAATTCTGTTTCGTAAATGTTGTTGACTCCCCCCTGGTACCTGTCGCAATTGATCTGTGCCTCCCGGGCATCAGACTTCATTGTTATGTTGGCCCCCCAAACTACAACAAAATGGCTCCCGCCAGACACTTCCTCACAACTGATTCCAAATCGCCGCGCTCTCGCGCGAAACTTCCCCACGATTTACCATGGAACCGCGCTCTCGTATTGTACGCTCCTGCAATTGATTGAGACGCCGTGCCCTCGACACTCAGGAATCACGCTTTCGCTTTGGACTTCCTCACGATTTACTTGGGAATCGCTCCCTCGAGACTCCTCGTGATACATGCAGACTGACGCTTCAACGGCCCGCCCGCTCGAACCGGCCGTCTGGGCCAGCCCGCACGACCTGCTCGTTAGGCTCCGCCCGCCCGACCGCCCGCCGCGTTCTGCCGATGGATGTGCTGCTCCTGGCCCACCCTCCTGCCAATCTCTCTCGAGCTCCATCCTTCTCTCTCCCCCATTGTCCCTTCCCTCCTCCCTCCCTTCCACTGTTTCAAGGGCTGCGCCCATTACACGTGGCAGGTAAGGAAGACATACTCCCAAAGGGGGTACGATCGAGAACGGATAGGGCGGGTATCAAGGGATTGCGACATACATGATGAGTGACACGCGAACAACGAAGAAGAACAGACAATATTGAAATGATTGTTGTAGTGCGGGGGGCAACAACGCAACTGAGCCTCAAGACGTTCCCTGATTAAAAAACCAGGTACGAGTGCCGGGGGAGGCACCTCAATGGAAAAATACAATGGGCTCCCGAGGGGTGGGATCAACAATCATTATTTTTCAGAAGTGCAAATTCAACGACAATCTGCACCGCAGAACCCCAACAACCACGAAGCTGAGGACTGCGTTGGACAGTTCGGCCCCCTCACTCTGACATGGTATGCTGCGCTTGCACGGTGCCGGAGCTTACTGCAAGCAGCTGCACCATAAAACCATCACACATCATTATTACATGAAAAGCGTTTCCCCGCCGGCTGGATCCCCAAACCTCTGGCAGCATTAAGGCCACACTCAGAGCGTGGTGAGTCCACAACGCCTGGCTCAGCAAAATGTCGCCTTAACTGCCAAACCACTCCGAAAGGTTTTGACCATGCACGTTTCTATGGAAACCTCTGTACTGCGTGAACACATCGCAACACTCTGACTACACAAAAAACTTCTATTCACGGCGCCACTGCTCAAAGGTTTTTACCAGTCAGCGCGCTCTGGAAACCTCTTACAGCGCGATACAACGCCTTCGGCCTCTTCTGACGATGCATGTGCACAGCACTGCGGACGCAGCTGCAGTGGCTGGAGCTTTTTCTCACCAGACGGCGAACTCTGGAAACCTGTGCCATTCGTGGGGAGTGTGCGTCGCCTCTGCTCTCACAACACATGCGACTCCACATCGCAACATTCACGATCATGATGCACGGAACCGTGACTCGTCTTTACAATGGGCCTCTGCACGGTTCGAGTTCCGGCGGAAGTATGCTTTGGACCGGGACGTCTTGGGCAGGCGCGGAGTATCGCGTGCGAGTGGCGCCTGCTGACCATCTTGGAAAATAATGGGCTTATAGTCATCTGGCACGTCCTCTCTGCACATGATGTTGCTGTGATATCGCGCCACGTTTGCACGCAACCCCTGGACTGAACCCCAACACACAGCACACACTTTGCGGCACCCAGACGACGGCCACGATGTGAAACCATTGAACACCTGCCACAAGTTCAGCGCCTGCTGATGAGACGTGCAATTCACAAACGCGTAGCCAAAATTGCACGCGGACACGAAATCCATCGGAAGATCCGCCGTCCCTCCTGTGAGGCCTTCAGGCTGTCGAGGTCACGTAACATTGGCATGTCGTTCCCCAGCAGCGTCTCGCCGAGGGTTTACTATGTTGAGGGGAACTGGATAAAGCATCACTACACATAGAATCAAGGGTCCGGAAGCCGGCAGAACTCCAACCATTGATTTGCCATGGGTAGAGACCGATTTTTTGAATCGGCGATAACCTGGGTTATCCGGGGGGGGGAATGGCAGGGGGCCAACCGATAACCTAACCTTCGCGCTGTGGGCAGCCCTGCATATGCCCGCGCCCCCCCCACCCCACCCTGGACCTGCACAACCGGCAAGGTTAGGCTATCTTGGGGGTGGGGGGAGGGGGGCAAGCCCGATAACCTGGGTGATCGCCAGACCCTAGAAAAAGCAGTCTCGTATCACCGCCGCCCTCATCAGATGAGGAACCCTCCAGGGACTGAGGACTCCTGGGCACACTCCTTCCCGAACGCCCTCACCGCAGTTCTAAAAACAGATCTGCATCTCTCTCAGTGGGGTCGGGGCGGCTGCGTGCGTGGCGCCGTAGAAGCGCCTGACCCCTTTTCATCGATCGGAATGACTGTCGAGGGGCCGTGCTCACATTGTTTCACCCTCCGAACCCATTGGCTGCATCAACAAATACACGATGGACGTATGAACGAATGCTCTGACTGCTTCTGACAAGGATGATGCACGACATTGTCTGCCATATAAGAGCCTCTCAGCAGCCTTTTCAGGAACCCTCTCAGGACCACCCCAGCAGCCTCTGGAGAGCCTCTGAAGAGCCTCCCGTGGGCCTCTCATGAGCTAATCGGGGCAAGGCCCTCCCAGATGTCTTTCGTGACCCCCAACAGGCCACCTGTCAAGATCCTTTCAAATCCTCCCGGAACCGACTCGGGAAAATAGGAGGCCACGTCTGTATATCAGAGTGAGGGGGCCGAACGGTCATTCATTGTCCCTGGGTGCGTGGCTAAAGTGGGGATTCGTTGTGAGAACTATGTTCGTTGCGGTGTTGAACTCTCACTACCGTAAAAAAACACTGGAGGGCCCCAGCTCCCCGAGACGGCCCAAGAAGGCCCCACGACTGCCAAAAAGAGCCCCGGGACAGCGCAAAAGAGCAACAAAAACGCCCAGACGGCGTTATCCGTGCGCTCGTTCTCTCTCTCTCTCTCTCTCTATTTCTCTCTCTATTTCCCTTCCCACCTGTGACTTTTCGTCGACCTCCACGTTCGTGGCATCCGATGGCCGCCCTCATTCGCCCGTTCCTTCCTCTGGACCTTCTCCCCGTTTTCCCCCCCTCCTCCTTTCCGCCTCTTCAGTCCCCCCCTCATCCCTGCTCCCTTCCCGTTCCCCGTTCATGGACAAATGCCATCGCAACAATTTGATGCCTTGCCGTTTGCCAGCACATTCGCGCGGGAAAGCACATCATTCCTTCCCGACTCCTGCGCACATGCGTGCAAGCGCATCGGGCGAACGCGGCGTCAGCAAACACGAGGGATACCAGAAAAATAAGCCGATCGCCCGTCCAGACCTCGAGGTCCCCCCTGCTGAAGCAAGCGATGATGTATTGTGTTGCGGTGCACGCCGTCCTCCTCCTTCTCCTCATCGTCGCAGTTGTACCAGTAGCGGTAGTAGTAGTAGTAGTAGTAGTAGTAGTAGTAGTAGTAGTAGTAGTAGTAGTAGTAGTAGTAATCGTAGTAGTACTAGTATTAGTACTAGTACTAGTACTAGTACTAGTACTAATACTAGTAGTAGCAGTAGTAGTAGTAGCAGTAGTAGTAGTAGTAGTAGTAGTAGTAGTGGTCGTAGTAGTATTAGTAGTAGTAGTAGTAGTAGTAGCAGTAGTAGTAGTAGTAGTAGCAGCAGCAGTAGTAGTAGTAGTGGTAGTAGTAGTAGTAGTAGCAGTAGTAGTAGTAGTAGTAGTAGTAGTAGAAGTAATCGTACAGCTTAATACCTACATCTGCATCTAGACCTACATCCACATCTACACCTACAGCTACATCTACATGTACACATGCATATACATCTACATCTACATTTACATCTGCAACTACACTCACATCTACATATACATCTGCACTTACAGCTACACCTACATGTACATATACATCTACATATACACCTACATCCACGTCTACACCTACACCTACATCTAAATATACATCTACACTGTCGCATTGGTTTTGCTGTTGCGTTGCATTGCCGTTGCGTTGCGTTTGCGGGTGCGTGTGCTTTGCTTTGCGTTGCTTGTGCGTTGCTGTGCTGCTGCTGCTGTTGCGTTGCCGTTGCGTTGATGCTATGCTATGCTATGCTATGCTGCGCTATGCTATGCTATGCTATGCTGCGCTACGCTATGATATGCTAGGGTAAGCTATGCTGCGCTATGTTAGGCTAGGCTGTGCTATGCTATGCTATGCTGCGCTATGCTATGCTATGCTATGATGTGATGGGCTATGCTATGCTATGCTATGCTATGCTGCGCTATGCGATGCGATGCTAGGCTATACTATGATATGAGATGCTGCGTTATGATATGCTATGCTATGCTATGATATGCTGCGCTATGATATGCTATGATCTGATATGCTATGCTGGGCTATGCTATGCTGGGCTATGCTGCGCTATGCTATGCTATGATATGATATGGTATGCTGTGATGTGTTATGCTAAGCAACGGTCTGCTCTGCTATGCTATGCTGCGCTATACTATGCTATGCTATGCTTTGCTGCGCTATGCTATGCTGCGCTATGCTATGCTATGCTATGCTAATGCTGCGCTGCGCTAAGCTGAGCTAAGCTAAGCTAGGCTGAGCTATGCTAAGCTAAGCTAGGCTAAGCTAAGCTAAACTAAGCTAAGCTAAGCTAAGTCAAGCTAGGCTACGCTAAGATGAGATAAGCAACGCTAAGCTAAGGGGACGCAACTGGGGGAACCGCGGGGCGGATCCTTGGGGAACCGCCCGGGGCGCATTACACTGCCCGGCCCCTTTAAGCCAAGAGAGTAAGAACCCTTCTAGGCAGAGCCTAGGTAGGGAAATATCAGACTGCGACGGCGTCGACGGACGGCACCGCCCGCAAAAACCGCCAGTCGCCCCGAGCGGCTGCGACGGCGACGGGCGGCACCGCCCGCAGAAACTGCAACTCGCCCCGAGCGGCGGCGACGGCGACGGCGACGGCGGCGACGGGCGGCACGGCGACGAGGAGCGGCACTGGTCCCCAGATGGTTAGGACAAGTAAGAACCCCACAGTGCAAGCACTGCTTGGGGAATGTGTTTGTGCGTTTCCAGGGCTTCTTCGGGGTCTTCTCTGGGTCGTGTTCAAGATTCTGGTGGGTGTCTGGGGCCGCTCGGGGCTCTCGCCTGGCCGTTCGGCCGCGCTTCTGACCGAGTTGGGCCCGCTGGCTTGGCCCAGCAAGAGCGTCCAGTAACCCCAGAAAGCTCGGGGACTCTTCTGCAAGGATGTCAGGGGGGTTGCCAGGGCTACGAATCCAAGGGTTTCGTTCTGGGGGGGGGAATCTCCCATCCCAGATTTTTAAGATACAGGACAGCGAATCTCTGATTTTATATATGTATATATATGTTTGCATATGTATGCGTGTATGGGTCTAGATATACTATGAACGAATACACTTGCATGTATACTCAACCCAAGACATGTAAACACAATCAGGCGTGAAGCTGGAGGGGACGGCGGAAGTGGCAGGAGACAAGTTGATAGACCAAGTCGTATTGGCCCGACAAGCCCTGGCTATTCAACAGATCGATGAGTTTGGCCCGGCAGAGAGTAGTGGGCAAATTACGCATCATCACGGTGGTTCGTTGGTCGCCTCCCGAGGGAAATGCCGATTCCTTTTCTCCAGTCCTGACCGTGGGAACCAGCGTGGTAGCCTTGACGCTGAGGTGCGTGCGCGGGGTGCCTGGCTTCTGGGTGGGCAGCGCCTGCTTCGAACGGGGTCCCTGCATCGGGCACAGCGCTCTACTCGGGGACAGTTGCCAACTGTCGCCCTCGGTAGAACCAGAATCCTCACTTCGGTGACCATTGGCTGGGAGCTCCGATGCTGAAGGAAGAAACAACTGCATAAACATAAACGGTCTTCCTCACTCCGCTCGGATTTCTTATATCCGCGCTGGACCCACCCCCGTGGCGCGCGGAACGCGCCAGAGGCGCCGCCAGGGGGGCCCCAGCGCCGATCTAAGAAGTCCGCGCGCAGCGTCGACAAATTATGCTTCTGCAAGTTTCTCTCCTTCGAAATAGGGTGCTGGCGTCCGATCCGCTCACTTTCTGGCTGCGCACCCACATCGGGAGCAGCGGGTCCACTGCTTCCTCGCCGTCCGAGCTGTCCCGCGCGCACTCTCCCGTGAGTGCGCAGGAGAGGAGGCCTGGAGTGCGCAGACCGCCGACATACATGGGTCCCTGCGGCACCTTTGGGTGGCGCGCACAAGGAGCTTGCTCTGACGGGGCGAGGGGGGCGGCGATACAAGAAGGCGTGAGGTTATCTGAGATATGCCTCGGAGCTTTCTTAGGAAAGCCAGGGAGGCTTCTAGGAAGGCCCCCTGCTCACTCAGAAGGCCGCCCCCTTCGCGCAACCCACTTCTGCGCGCCGCCAAGCCTGACGCAGAGCACTGACGTCTGTCATGGAAAACGCATCTCGAGACGTCGAGGGCTTCGCAGAAGCGCGATCCATGTTGGCCATCCTTGGGATTGGGATAGTTACCAAGTCGGTCGCCCTCTCGGATGCCATCGAGAAGAACCAATAAGGAACACCTTGTTCAAAATCCCACGGATGTGCAAAGTTCGGCCAGTGGTCGAGCGCTGCGGGCTGTACCGAGTCAGAGTTGAGCCTCAATTGCTGCGGAAACCAACGACGCACACTGGCCAGGCATTGGGGTGACCTCATTGATGTCGAATGGTGATACTCTCAACGATTGCAACGTGCGAGCACATGATCCCGGGATGGTATCAAGCTACTAGTGGGTAATAACTCG